TAAGATTATGATATATAATGATAATAAAAGTTAACATTTTAAAAAATTTTGATGTGCTGGATGAATATCACATTATAATAAGTAATTTTAAAACWAAAAAATATATATAAAATAAAAAAAGTAATTATCACTAAAAAAAAAAAAAATCTAAAATTTTAATTATGTTATATTAACTAATAACTAATAAAATCTAATTAAAAAAATACAGTATTAAAGSACAGTATAATATAATTTGCATTAAAAAAAACCTAATATTTTAMTAATAGTATTAATAAATAATTTTCAATTAGACCTAAAAATTTTAAATTGAGTTTTTCTTATATATATTGCTATAATATTTTATAWAAAAAAACTCAATTTTTTTCAGTCAGTAATGACCAGGAAATAGATATTCAGTCGAAAAGTCTGGTTGATGTCGAGCACAGGTAGTAGTCGTAGTAGTATTTTGTTTGTACTGAGACTCACGTATGTCTATATCAACCAATTTCAGACATTTCAGGGCAAACCTATCGACAGCTTCGGGACTGACGGCCGCTTCGGGTGTTCCGTACAGTCGAACGTAGCGAATGTTCGGCAGTTTTGCCAAATAGTCCAATGATTTGTCTCTCAAATCAATMGCATTGAGGAACAGGTGTTCGAGTCGGGGAAAGTATTGGTCAATTTTTTTGACGAACCGTTCATCACAGTTAACATAGCGATCGATAACCGCATTGATAGTCAAATGTGTCAGTCGCTGGAGTCCGGCCAACAATGAGGAATTAAATTTRAGATCTTCGGGAAACAGTCCGCGCAGATGCAGTCGCCGTAATTGCGGMSAACACTGGTTAATCGTTTTCATAATCTGCTGTATATTACGCCGACTAACCGTATGCACMGTCAGACACAACCTCTTCAACCCAGGCATTCTGGGTAATACCTGTGCCAACTGTTTRGCTATCAATCGCTGATCAAATGTTACCCGTTTGTAGTTCAGACTCAAGTCTTTCATAGCGGACATCTGCCGTAATGTGCCAATCAATTTGGTCAACCCGTGTGAATCACAGCTCCAGTCTATGGTAATATGTATTGAGTCCAACTGGTGATGATATTTGTCAAATGCYTTCAATTGTGTTTCATTGTAATAGTGAAAACTAAAACTCCGCAACAGTGGCCACTGTTGCTGATGTTGTTGAATAACTTTGTTGGTGTCGATAGGATTGGTGGTCAGCAACAGTGGACAAACGTCTTCGGTAGCCGTATAGAGATGCAGTGTCCGCAGTGACCGAAACTGGCGAAATCCCAGCCAAAATGTTTTGTCCCATACCTGCGGCGATATCCGGCACTTGAGTACAACCAATTGWCGKCCGTATTTCAGACAAAACTCTGACCACAATTCCCTGTACCAGTTGTCCACTCCTTCGTACAGTCGATAGTCAAATGATTTCAGTCGGTGACAGTGTTTGACAATTTGYGTCAGCAACGGATCAATCAGATATCGGGTGTCGTAGTCGATGATTACGTGCTGAATGTTTTGCAATTTTTTCAGCATCTGTTTGATACACTGCAGGTACTCGGGTTGTCGGTAAAAATTTTTATTAAATATAGCATAAGTACCGTCCAATCGCAACACTGTCTGTGTCTGGTATATAACCCGTTGCCACTGTCGGCTAATACATTCGTAACGAAAACGGTCGTCCATCGGTAAATAGGATAACAGTAAGAGCTGCGATAGGTCGTCACCGAATCGTTCAAACGAGTCTCGACCATACCGTGAGGTCAACGTTGGTGTTGATATCAGATGCATGTCTTTTAGTAGACCTAKTATTTGGTGATAATAAAAAAAATATTTATTTTTTTAAAATATATTATTTCATAAGATTTATTTCAACAACAAMAAAAAAAAAAATAGTTTATAAAAATATAGTTACTATAAAATTATTATTATTATTATCATAAGTATATAGTAATGTAAGATTAAAACTTATAATTTTATTTTATTTATATTATATAAGATGACTTATATAGGGTATCATATTTATAAAAAAAAACTTATATCATATCTAATTTATATATTACGTTATTATAAATATGTTTTATTATAATTTTTTTTAATATAAAACTTATAAACGTTAGGTTAAGTTAGGTAGGGTTGGGTTGGGTTTATAAATTATAATCATACTTAACCCTTATCGTTATCATATAGTATAGATTAAATTTATGGCACCTTAATATTATATATTTGTGCATGGGAAAATTTACATAGATGCTTAAATTTTATTTTTTTTTGAAACATTATAAATAAAATATATTTATGATTTTTAAAACAAAACAGCAATTAAATATAACTATACAGTATCGACTTATTTATCTACTTATTTATTATATTGAAATTATAATAAATAAGTAAAAGATAAAGTCTATACCCGTTAATGCCAATAAAAAATAAACTAAAATAAAAATAATTGCAATAAATTGAAATTGATTTACATCCGCTGATAAAATAAATAAACTTTTTTTAATCAATAAACAAATATAAAGCAAATTTTKTTGTTGTTGAAATTATAAATTGATGATTTCAATCATTTAATATTAGTAATCAACAAATAAATAAATAAATAAAATACATATRTAATTTATACATAATGCTCTAGATAAATTTATATAATACAACACTATAGGCATTAAAGCTCCTAATAAAAAAATTTTAGATATTTTTAAAATAAATTTAATTTTTAATTTTCTATTATACAATATTAACTAAAAATAAATCAATAAATAAAATCAATACAAAATTATAATTTATATAATTCAGTAGTTTATTATTAAGGAATAAAATTATATTTTTTAAAAATTCAAAATTGTTGCCAAAAAATTGTTTTAAYAATACTTACGTTAAAATAATGCAAACAAACAAAAAACTGTGAGTAAAACCTCTCTATCTATAGACTTATATACCAGTTATAGTAATCACATAACAATTGATTGATTGAATGTTGTTTTYATTGACCAAATTTTAAGATAATCACAATACAAAAAAATATATATAACTATTTCACTATTAAATTATGATAAGTAAATGATATATRAAATTAAATTATTATTATGTTATTAATATAATAAAAGATAATTATTATTAATAAATTGTAAATGAAATACCAGTGATGTATATATATATATGGTATACAGCTTAGCATATTTATGACTGTGCTGTCAAATACGTATGTTTTTAATGTTGTCAGCGTTTATATACAAAAATTAAATCATTAGAAATTACTGGAAAAATCCTGAGTTGTTGTACAGTCTATACACACACAGACACACACACAGACACACACACACACACACAAAGTACAGCGCATAACCCACTATATTGTAATTTTTAGGGTCACTAAACAATAAACTAAAAACTAAAAATTAATATCAATAAAAAAAACATTTATATATACAAATTTTAATTTATTATAATTATTAACTAACTAATAATAATAATAATGTATTGAATGTAATTTATTTAAAAATATATAAAATATTTTAATAAATTTAATTATTATTATTATTTTGGAAACTTTTATCTATACAATATATGTATAGACGTTATTGATGTCTATATTATAACCTATTTTTTTGTTAATATTAATATTGTATGCAATAATCAATTGGTTTGTTTGTAAACATTATTATTATTACATTATTATTATTAATAACAAATAATATGATAACACTATTGTTTAAAAATTATAATGAAATCTATAATTAATTTTTTTATTAATTAATTATAGATAATTATATACAAATAAAAAACAATGTTTTAATTATTTAGTTTTTTAAAAAAATTATTTTTTTAGTTTTTAACATATATTTTAGCGTTTAATTCAAAAAAAATAAACAGTAGTTTATAAGTCAATTGATTTATTTGTTTGCATTACATATACATTGATTGATTGATTTCAAAACTTATCGTTASATTTAGCCTATTGTTTGATTACCGTTTGCTGGCCACCSSTATATACTGGCCATCGGATCTATGGATCACAATAATGYCAATGATATGTTGATGTCGTCATCGATGATGAAAGTCGAGCCCATAGGCGCCGACGGCGATGACCAACTGTTGCCGACGACGATTGACGACATATCGTTGGATGTACTAAATCGGCCAACAAATCAAGTGGTCAATCATAATCAAGACATTGCCAATCAAGACGGCGGCGCCGGCGAAGACACCGATACCGGCAACGAGATAGTGACCGCCAATTCGGTCGATGATATCACAGATATGTTAACTTCCGAGTCGTCGTCCTCGTCAACGATGACGACAACTGTTACCGCTATTGACGCCACCGCTAATATTATCAACAAAAACAATCATCAATTGGTCGACAATCGGCCGAAAACAATGTCATCGATAATGACAAAGACGGCTAAACCGATGTACTGTTATATCCTGAAAAATGGTCAATCATTAGCCATCAATGCCGCCGACGCCACAAAGTTGACGCCCGATATTATCGAAAAGATTAGACAAAAGTTTACGACGACTACTACTACTACTACTACTGCCGATATTTCGCTGCCCAAAGTGATAACCGTCAAGAAAGTGGTCACCAAACCGATCCAAAACACCAGAAAATCAGTCAATAATAATAARAATCTATCATTAGTTAGTACAACAACAACGACAACTGTTCCCATATCTACATCCTCGTCATCATCATTGCCATCGACGATATGTGTATCAGCAATAATAAGACCACTATCATCATCATTATCATCGACAACAATGACAACTAACAGTAGTAGTAGTAGTAGTTATGGTAATCAGCAAACAATTACCAATAATAATAATAATAATAGACAAGAAGTGCYATCAATGCCAAAGATTGTTAGAATAAGACCAATGATTGGCTTCAMCGACAAAACGACGAGTAGTGGTAATAATAATAATAATAATAATAATAGGATTATTGATGATAATGTAGTAGAAGTAGTAGATAATGATAAACAAGAAGTAGAAGAAGTTTGTCAGATATCGAGCCCGAGTACTACCATTACGACAGCCATTGCCGACGCTGTCGTCTCCTATGTTAAAGAAAATACCGAATCAAATGTTGGCCATCAGATGCCGAAAAAAATTTACTTCAAAGCTTCGGGATATAAACAATCGGCAAATACAAGTACCGATAATTGTAATAATAATAATAACAATAAGAAACGGTTTACTGGATTGTTGTGCAACAGATATGGTTTTAGGACACCATTTGGCGGATATCCAACTGTTGTTACCAATAATACCGGCACCGCCTCTCACGGCGCCACCACCAGAGTTGTCAATCAAACTACGCCAACAACAACAACAACAACAACGACGACGACTAAGATGACGACAAGTCTGGACAATAAGTCGAAATTCGAGCTGGAATTGCAACCGAAACCCGAATACTTGAAATTAGTTGGCCAACCAATCGGWTTGCAAGTAAAACGAGTCGTCATTAATATGAAACGTGCGCTAGAATTGCGCGGTCATTCCAAACGGTCGCACATTATCTACGAAATATGCTATCTGACCGGTTTGTCCCGTAAATTGATTAGCCGTATAATGCGAGAATACGACCGAACCGGTGGTCAAATGGTCGACCCGAAGATTACACGCAATAGACCGCTGAAATTTAAAGGCGATTCGCCCGCCGATCGCCAGATTATCGACAAATTTGTACTAAACTATCAACAACTGAACGRAAGRCGGCCGACAATCCAAGAGGTTTACAACGGGTTAGCGGTGGCCACCAATCGGGACCTCACGTTTAGCGGCTGTAATATCGGTACATTTCATCGTATTTATAAGTCAATGGGATTCAAACCGCCCGAACCGTTACACACACACAAAGTATTGAAACAGGTGTCGCAAATTGTTACCCGAAAAGACTGTGTATGTATACTATCATTGATTTTGTTTTTTTAAAACTAAAGTACCGGTAATTAACTATTTGTTTGTTGTGTTTTTTCACAGGCAATGTTAGGCCAAGTGCTTGAATCGGGCGAAAAACGATATCCGTGTCATTGGCCCGAATGCGGCAAAGTATACAAAGTATCGGCCAGTTTAAGGGTTCATCTGAATGTACACAACAATGTTAAGCCGTATTTGTGTCAGTGGTCAGGTTGTGACTACCGATCGGCAACGTATAGCAATGTACTCATACATTATAAACGCAAACATGAAAAATAATAATAAACTTCTTTTTAAAAAATTTTATAATAAATAATAATTTTATTACMGATATTTATTTATTTTTTATTTTAGTATTAACCGTATTTGAAATATTAATTTGAAATTATTATATTGATATTATTATAATTAATAATACTTTATCTCATATAAAATCAGAGAGATATCTAAAAATCTATAAGAATATATTAGGATTCTGTAAAATACATAATTATAATAATAAATACAGTTTTTTTTTCAGGTATAGGCTAAATATAATAGTATATAATAGTAAATATAATAGTAATATAAAAAGTCAAAATATTATAATAGTACTTTTTTTTGTAGTATATTAATTTTTTGTAAAAAAAAATGATTAAAAATAATAAACTATGTGTGTAGCATGTGTGTGTGTGTAGTGTGTACATGTGTGTGTATATTACTGCTCAGGGATGCGGGGATAGGTATGTTAGATATCTCAAAAAACTATAAGGAGATATTAGGATTCTGTAAAATGGATGTGTGTAATACACACACACAATACATACACACAAATTACACACAAATTTGACACACAAATAAGTACACACAAATACACACAAATACACACAAATACACACAAATACACACAAATTACACACAAATACACACAAATACACACAAATACACACAAATACACACAAATACACACAAATACACACAAATACACACAAATACACACAAATAATAAACACATTTAATAAAACCAATTGATTTATTGTAAAACCATTGAAACGGTAGTCATGTTCGCCGATAGACTATTATCAAAGTCTAGCCAATTGATTGTAATAAAAGCTAAGAAATAATTATTAATTATTAATTAAAATAAAATAAAGTTAATAACTATATATATATATATTAATATTTAAAATTATAATAATAATAATGTTTTACTTAATAAAAACAAAATAACTTACCATTACTGTTGATCAAACATTTATAAAGTTTATATAAATAATAGATTAAGTCACCGACAAACAGTGCCACACCGATACCGGTGCCGATGCCAATGGCCAATCCCAGTGTTTTCAATAGAAATGTTTTAAGGTATTTGCGTACTAACCACAAACCAATACCTGTACCAATGGATGCACCGGCAGCTATGCCGACCATATTTTTAGCTCTATTCAATTGAATCGACCAACCGATACCATGTTTCCATAGATTAACGTAATGCTCGCAATTACTTGTCTTATTTAGTTTTTTTTAATAAAAAAAATATAAATATTAAATATTAAATATTAAATATTAAATATTAAATATTAAATATTTAAAATATTAAAAATTTATCTATACATGTATATACATATAAAAAAATTAATTATCCTCTATTATTATTGATCCAATATTATTAATTTAATTAAAATTAAATTAAATATACATTAAACATTAGAATATTAATAGCAAAAAATCTATATTTATTTTTATTTAATTAGTTAATATAGTTAATATAGTTAATATAGTTAATATAGTTAATATAGTTAATATAGTTAATATAGTTAATATAGTTAATATAGTTAATATAGTTAATATAGTTAATATAGTTAATATAGTTAATATAGTTAATATAGTTAATATAGTTAATATAGTTAATATAGTTAATATAGTTAATATAGTTAATATAGTTAATATAGTTAATATAGTTAATATAGTTAATATAGTTAATATAGTTAATATAGTTAATATAGTTAATATAGTTAATATAGTTAATATCGTTAATATAGTTAATATAGTTAATATAGTTAATATAGTTAATATAGTTAATATAGTTAATATAGTTAATATAGTTAATATAGTTAATATAGTTAATATAGTTAATATAGTTAATATCGTTAATATAGTTAATAATAATCTATTACTATTAGATTATACTTGACGGGTTTATCTCTCAAACGATACAATATACCGAAAACAGTGGCAATATCTTTATGAATGAATTTGTTTGGTCTAATTTTTTTGGCAATTATCATAAATCTCTTAACAATGGCGGCCATCGTCTCCTGATTGTTGATCCGACACAACGATGGCTTATTAGTTCCGCTATCGTTCAATATATCCATCAACGGCTGACATAATAGCATAGCTTTATTGGTCGGACACARWCGCTTAACATTTCTCACATCTGTTACGTGATAACACCAATAGTTGCCCAAATCGTCCACCGATTTAAATAATACAAAATGTTTTATTAGCGGATTTTGTCGTTGTATTTCAATCTAGTCGCCAGTGGTCAGCGATGATCCGATAATTTGGTCGTAACCGACAAATGAATTTTCACAATAAAACGACGGAAATATTAATTGCGACATAATTTTTGTCCTTTGATAATAATTTAGATTTTAAATTTCATTTTTTTTGTTTGTAAAAACTATTGAAAAAATGGCATTTCATAGATGTATTTATAAGTAATTTTTTTCTAATACAGTCTATTTAATAAAATATGTTTTTATTTTTTGAAATACAAAACCGGATATTTTTGAAATTTAATAATTTATTTCTAATAAAATAAAGTAAATGTATATAAATAAATATTTATTATTATTATTATTATTATTATAAAAATGATAACTACAAAGTATCGGCCAGTTTAAAGGTTCATCTGAATGTACACAACAATGTTAAGCCGTATTTGTGTCAGTGGTCCGGTTGTGACTACCGATCGGCAACGTATAGCAATGTACTCATACATTATAAACGCAAACATGAAAAATAATAATCATTTAAATAATAATTATGTTTTTTAAATTTATTTAGTTTGATCAGCCAGTCACTACTACTACTACTACTACCATTACTACTACCTTTATTTTTGCCACAATCTATGTTGTCATACATGTATAAATCATCCAAAAATTGTCTCCATGTTATAATTGGTAATAATAGAGCTAATTCATTTTGTTTAATTTTAACCTATATTAATTTTTATAAGTTTTTAAAAAATGTTAATAATTTTTGAAATAAATTCTTTTAATTTACATAATTGTTGAATGGAATTATAAAGAATTTTAACGACCAAATTTACATTATAAACTAATACTTGAGATGACCATCCGATTCCATATTTCCAAAGAGTTACACAGAATTCGCAATTGAATGACTAAAAGATTAAAGACAAAAATTATTAGTTTGGTTTAATTAAGATTTTTAATAGTAATTATTAATAGAATGATAATTTACTATTTATACGATCAATCTTATATCAATATATTACAAATGTGTTTCAATAGTATTTTCGACAATATTATTATATATTTATTTACCAAAACACTATAGGGAATCGTTTTTTCTGTATTTGCATTAAGCATGTTGAATATTGTATCCAAGCTATAGCAGCATAAATTTTTTGTAATATTTTTATTTTCCATGATAAAATTTTTTAAACAAACTTGATTGTTAATGCGACATAGACTATTGTCAAGTATTTTAAACAGCGGTTCTTTCATTATAAATGGTTTACAAGTATCATTATATTTATCAACCAAAAATGTTAGTTTATGACACCAATAAATATTAAAATTATTACATGACTCAATGAAAACCCAATGTGTAAAACCTAATCGTTTTATTTCAATCAAATCACTAGATTTTAGTTCAGTAATTATTTCATTATAAGTAATATGTAATAATATTTTTTATAGTTAAACTATTATACTTTTACTTAATCTTTGAAATAATTTGATATTTCATTATTTATTTAACTAATCTCTCTCTCATTCACTCAATAATTATTATTATAACAAATTAATTTAAACACACATAGCTATTATAATAAAAAATAATAGTTATATTATTTATTTTTAAAATTTAATAAAGCGCTTTTTAAGAATATTATTTTCTTATAGTAATAATTATAAATTAATTGTTATTTTTGTTTTTTCTATTTGCTTGATATTTAAATTTGCTTTAAATTTATTTATATAAAAAATGCGATAAAGTTAATAATAATACTAATGGCATGTTCGCGAAAGTAGATTATTTTAGCTTATTTTTAGTCCACTTTTAGTCCACTCTTTTTTTCCACTCAACGAGATTTGACGATTGAATTTAATCCTTATTTTCTATACTATAAAGTGGATTATATGCTAGTGCTATATGTGTATTATAATTTAAACACATGTATTTTGTTTTTATTAAATTTATATATTTATTTATTAATATTTTATATATAGACGTCACTTAATTACAATCTTTATTTTACATTTAAATAGCTAACAGGATTGAGGATCGATTTTGAAATCTCTTTTTGAATCCTCTATCTATTTGGGCGAACATAGCATAATAAACATTGCTTAAGATTACTGTTTGCTAGACATTTCTTAAGCCTATAGCTATAATAGATAGCGTCGGCGACAATCAGTTAACCAATCTATACCCAAACCGATTCCTACAAACATTTTATTATCTTAATTGCAATTATGATATTTAAATACTTTAAATACTAATTCGTGAAAATATTCTACAATTGTTTATTATATAAAAGTATAAAAAAAACTTATTTCCCAATATATTTTTTTTGAATAATAAACATTTTGTTAGTGAAAATAATTATGATAATTGTATTATATAATTATTATAAAAACTTTTCTAGTTTGAATTAATATTTTATTTTAGCTGAAATATTACTGTAATCATTATTGTATTGAAATTAACATTTATCATAGTAATTTATCATGTATTATATACTAATACTTATAGTATATATTAGTTAATACTATTATGTAGTATTATTTATAAATGTATACATTATTATTTTTATTATAATTATTGCCATTACTATCAAAGTTTAGCGCCAATTGATATCTAATTTAAACAAATAATAAATCAAAAATGCAATATTTCAATATAACATTTAGTGAAATTCAATAATTATTTGAGAAAAATATATTTATATATATCTAGTTTGTTAACAAATAAAATAAGATAACATGTATTTTTAATTTCCCATCTAATCCCGTAATAATAAGATAACTACAGTACTTATCAATCAATTGTTATCTTAATATTAGTCGACATGTTATTTAGTAAAAAAATAATAGTAAAAGTAGCAAAATATAAAAATATATGACTAAACTATAATTATATTTTTCATAGTTTAATAATATAATTAAATTAACAATAATTTMTTGAAATAATGGAAATTATTAATACAATTATTGAATAGCTTATATAAAATAACATTCAAAATCTATGTTTAGAAACCTAACCTAATTTATACCCAATAATTGTAACGATATTTAAAAAAATACTATTATATAATATAAAAGTATAGTATAGTTAGTTAAAGTTATAGTATAATAAAAGTAAATGCAATATATTGTAATTTACATTATTATTATATTTAGTATTACTTAATTAAAATTATTGTCTTAAATATCGTTGTCTATATCGTTGATAAAATAAAATTGTAAAACTGATGCCTTCAATAACCAGATATGTTATAACAATTTCMGGATTCAATGAAGCCGTTTCTTTAGCCAGTTTTTTCAGTATAACTTTGGCCACAAACTTATGTATCCCTAACTTATAGGCAACACTTGTAACAATTGAACCGGCAGTTAATATGCCGGCCAAACCTATAGTTCCCTGTTTTGACCAACCGATACCATATTTCCATTGATAAACATAATGTTCACAATTGCTTGTCTATTGATTTTTTTTAAATAAAAAACAATTATATTTAATTAAAAAAATATATATATAAAAAATAATATATATATATAGATGATTAGAAAATAAAGTTATGATAAAAACAAACATAGTTATAAATAAAAAATTATTTATAAAATAAAGTTATCTTAACTACAATTCTAAATATTATATAAATGTAAAAAAAATTAATAATAATTATTAGTATTATTAGTATAATTACTAATGTATTATAAGCAACAATTTCGTCTTTCCTATGACTTAATTGATTGAAAATGTTGTTAATGTTTGGAATATCTATTCCGGAAATTTTCATAAATTTCGTAACAATAGCKGCAATTGTCTCCTGATTGTTGATCCGACACAATGATGGCTCYGGTGTTCCGTTATCGGCCAGTATTTCATCYAATGGCTGATACAGTATCCKATAAATACCGTTTAATTCCGAAACRTGATAACACCAACAGTTACCCGATTTGTCCGTCATTTCAAACAATACATAGTGTTTATAACCRATTCKTTGAATTTCAATARCATCGCCACTGTTTAACTTATTGATGATTTGATTGTAGGTTAAATAGGATGTATTACACAAAAATGATTGACTGTATATTTTGACATGTTTTTTAAAAAATTAGTTTTTTTTGTTGTTAARTTTTATTATAGTTTTGTTACAATTAATTAAAATTTTTTATAATATATATAATATTGTATATATATATATATAATATATATATATATATATATATATATATATATATATATATATATATATATAATATATATTGTGTTTGATTTATTTTTGTTTGATTAGTTGAATTGTTGATTAAAATTATCTTATTTTTTTGTTAAACATATGAATACAAAAATAAATATTTATATCTAATTAATTATTATAAATTTATTTTTTCTTTAGTATTATTATTTTAGATGTTTATCAACTAAAAAATAAATAAAAAATGTTAGGATGACTGACACCAATAATTTTTTTTAAAGATTATCTCATAACTTATTGTTGTGTTCAATCAAATCACTAGATTTATAGTTTAGTAATTTTTTATTTTTTAATAAGTTTAGTTCAGGTAGTGTATTAAATATAAAAATAAATGTATAAAATAATTTAAAAAAATTATATGATAAGCATTATAAAAAAGGGTTGTTATTATTGTTTAAATATATCATTAATTTTTATATTATCTTTTTGCTTTATTATACTTTGTTTTATTGATAATACTTTAATAATTATTTACTTATTATATATATATATATATATATATATAGATATATTACTTTCCAAATCACTCACTCACTCACTCACTCACTCACTCACTCACTTTTTTCCTATTTATCTATAAAATGATTATTATGTCTAGACAATAGTTATTATAAAAAACAATGATAAACATATATATATAAATTATAAATTATAATTTATACTAAATAATAGTTACATTTATTTGTAACTTATTTTTGAAATTTAATAAAAGGTTTTTATTTTATAATTATGAAGAATATTATTTTTTATAGTAAAAATAATAAATTAATTTTTTTTGAGTTAATTGCAATTTTAAATTCATGTTTTTTTATTCATTAATTTATTAAATAGTATTTATATAGTTATTTATTTTAAATATTAATATATATATATATATATTTCATATATTATTTCACTACTAGAATAATAATTGTTAAATTAAAAGTAAAAGTGTTAAAGTAAAAAAAATAAATTAAATTAAAAATATGAAATATAAAGTAAAGATATCTTGTTAATAAATCAATTATTGCAATAAAATCTTTTAAATAAAAATTTTTTACATAAATATTAAATTATTGTTTAGTAAAAAAATATAAACATACAAACTATGAAGTATTTATAAATTATTAACTAAAAAAATATTATTATTTACTATAACTGTTTAACTAGAGATTTCTGAAATAATAAAACAATAATTAGTTGATATTTTTTTATTAGTTAAATATATAAATACTACAAAATATAGAAATAAATTGTGATAATATAAAAGTTAATAATAATAACATTGCTTACGATTACTGTCTGCTAGATTATTATAATTGCTATAATTGCAACTATAATTAATATAGATTATCACATAATGATAATGAAAAATATTATTTATTTAAAATAATTATAAATTATTTTTAAATAAAATGATTTGATTTATGTTATATTTATATCATATAAACTAGAAATATTATTTCACTAGTAATAATTAAAGTTATTAAATTGTTAACTAAATGTAATTAAAAAAGGAATATAAATTAATAATAATCTTTTTTATAAAAAATAATAAAATTAAATATTATTTAGTTTTTTTTGTTTAATTGTTTATATGTCAATTAAAATTATCTATTTTATATTTTTAGTAATGTAAAAATTCTTAAATTAAATTATTACATTTTATTTGAAGTGAAAGTAAGAAAGAAAGAAAGAGAGAGAGAGATAAAGAATAGGAGAGAGAATGAGAGAGAGATAGAGATAAAGAGAGAAAGAGAGAGAGAGAGAGAGAGAATAATAAACAATATTAGTTATGAAAAAAGTTAACTTTCAAATATAATACCGGATTTACTAGTTATGAATAATAAACTAAATTAAAATATTTGTTTATTTTTAAATTCAAAAATATGGTTTTAGGCGAATATTCAACAATTGTTATCACTAATACCAGCACCGTAGCCACTACAAGAGATTATTATTTTTATAGCATTATTACTACATTTTTATTATTATTATTATTGTTTTATTATTATTACAGTATTATTATTACAGTTTTATTATTATATTATTATTATAACCGTATTAATTAGAGTTATCAAAATCATTATATAGGTTTCTTAGAATTTTTAATAAATATTATTTTAATATAAATAATTATATTAGTTTATTAAACTAATATGTTAAAACTACAAATACATATTTATTTTTTATTTAGTTATTTTTTTTATAGAATAACAAAGAATATAAGTATAATATTAAAAATTTAAGATTAATTATAAAGTATTATATAATTATTTAAAATATTTTTCTATAAATTCTTTGTTAATTAGAATTAATATTTTTTCAGTTGAATTATTGTTATTATTTTTATTGACATTTACATTTATCATGGTTATTTATAATACTTTATATATAATATTATATTATATTATAGTATATATTAATTAATAGCATTATGTACTGTATAAATGTATAGATTATTATTATTATAATTATTACCATTACTATCAAATTCTATCGCCAATTGTTACCTAATTTAAAGAAAAAATAAATCAAAAATACAATTATTGAGTATAACATTTGGTAAAATCAATAATTATTTAGTAAAATATTTTTATTTATATTTAATAGTTAAAAAATAAGATAACATGTACTTTTAATAATAATAATCCCATAATAACTTGATAACAAAAGTACAACCAATTTTTATCTAATATTGGTTGACATGATATTCAGTTAAAGATAAATAATTTGTAGTAAAACAAAAAATATCTGACTTAAAACTAAAATTAAATTTTATTAGTTCATTAATATAATGTAAATTAACTAACATTCAAAATATGTGTTTAGAAACCTAACCTAACTTTTTTTTAAAAATCCTATTATAGTATAAAAAATAATTACAATAGTAAAATTAATATTACTATATGCAATACTTACTAATTATTGTCGTAAATATTGTTGTCTATATCGTTGATAATATAAAATAGTAAAACTGATGCCTTCAATAGCCAGAATTGTTATCATAATTTTAGGATTGAGCGAAACTACTTTTAAAAGCAGTTTTTTAAGTATGACTTTTGCCACATATTTATGTAACCCTAACTTATAAGCAACAACTGTAACAGCCGAAACTGCGGTTAATATGCCGGCCAAACCTATAGTGCCCTGTTTTGACCAACCGATACCATATTTCCAATGATAAACATAATGTTCACAATTGCTTGTCTATTAATTTATTACATTTGTAATTAAAAATAAAAAATATAATGTAATAATACTATATAAATTATTAGAATAATAAGTTATATAAATATATTATAATTATAAATTTAAATTTAAATTTAAATAAAAACAAACATAGTTTTAAATTTAGTTTTAAATTTTAAATTATTTTTAAAAAATTCTATTCTATTTAAAAACTCAATTCTAAATATAAAAATATTTAATAATAATAATAATTATTATTATAATTACTAATGGATTATACGCAACAATTTCGTCTTTCCTATGACTTAATTCCTCAAACATATCGTTAATGTTTGGAATATCTCTTTCGGAAATTTTCATAAATTTAGTAACAATTGCTGCAATTGACTCCTGATTATTGATCCGACATAACGATGGCTCTGGCGTTCCGTTATCGGCTAATATTACATCTAACGGATGGTACAGAATCCTATAAATACCGTTTAATTCCGAAACGTGATAACACCAACAATTACCCGAACTGTCTTTCTTTTCAAATAATACATAGTGTCTAATCCAATCTCTTTTAATTTCAATAGCATCGCCACTGATTAACTTATTGGAGATTTCATTGTAGGTTAAAAATGATGTATTACACGATAATGATTGACAGCATCTGCTGGACATATTTAAAAAAAATTGTTAAGTTATATTTAATTTAATGTTTAACATAATAAGATAATTTTAGTAAACTGTATTAAAAAGGCTGTTATTGTTGATTGAACATATCATTAATTTTTACTTTTATATTTTCTTGCTTTTTATCTTAAAATGGTAATGATTTTTTTAATTATACTTTATAAAAACTGTTGAAATAAATGTATATTTTATTATTTATTTAACTTATTATCTCTCTTTCTCTCTCTCTCTCTCTCTCTCTTCTCTCTCTATATATATATATAGCTCAATAAGAAACATTTTTATATTATAGTAATAAATATATCGTTCGACAATTAATTTTTTTATTATTTTATTGTTAAATTATTTAACTGTTAATTAAAAATTATCTATTTATTTTTTAATAATGCAATAATTAATTAAATTCAAGTATTTTATTTTTTTTTATAACAAATGGGAGAGTGTGAGAGAGAAACAACAAAAACATTATTAGCAATAAAAAACCCTTACCTTTGAAATACCGGATTTTTTTTATAGTTTTATTATATGTTTTTATGTTTAAATGCAGAACTGATGATTTTTAATTTTTAATATCTATAAAATTATTATTATTTTATGTCTCGAGAAATAGCTATTAATGCAACATTAATTAATATAAATTTTTCACAAAGTGACTAACATACATATAATATTAATACTAAAATTATTAAAATATTTATTACAAGTTATTAAATATATATATATCCCTGTTTATATATATATATATATATATATATACATTATAAATATGTATATATAGCAATAATACAAAATTTTTACAAATACAAAATTCAATTATTATGTTATATTAATTTGATTTTTATTTTGCAATTAATAATTTTTTTGACATTATAAATTCGTATAATAAATACAATAAATAAAGTTATATATATATATTTATATATATATATTATATATGATGTCAAATGTCTTTATTAATATTATCGTTGTCGGCATATATTGTTTGCCAATCGATTAACGTAATAATAGCT